GGGGAACGGCGGACGAGGGGATCGGGGGGTTCATCCTCTTCCTCGCCCCCGCTCAGCTCGGGGGGCTGGGGGGTCTGCGCCGCCCCGGTGAAGGGATCGAAGGCCACGGCGTTAACCCAAGATTTGTGCCCGTGACCTCGGGCCACCACCCGCCCCTCGGCGAAGGACCAGACGGTCACCAGGTCGTCCTCGCCCCCCGTCACCACGTAACGCCCGTCGGGGCTCCAACAGACGCAGAGCAAACCCCCGAAATAACTCTTCATCATCCCCTGCAGCAGCATGGAGTCGAAATGGAAGACGCGGAGGCAACCGTCCTGGCTGACGCAGGCCAGGGGTGTCGCTGAGGGCAGAGACCCAACGGACACGTTTAGGGACAAGAATGGGGATGTTTGGGGACACGAGTGAGGGCTGAGGTGCAACTCCAGGGTGTCACTGAGAGGGAAAAGCCACAAAAGGGACATTTGGGGTCCCAAATGGGGGCATGTGGGGACACAAACGTGGACATTTGGGGACACGAGTGAGGGCTGAGGTGCAACTCCAGGGTGTCACTGAGAGGGAAAAGCCACAAAAGGGACATTTGGGGTCCCAAATGGGGGCATGTGGGGACACAAACGTGGACATTTGGGGACACGAGTGAGGGCTGAGGTGCAACCCTGGGGCGCTGCTGAGAGGAAAGCCACAAAGGGGACATTTGGGGACCCAAATCCATGTCACAGTGCAGCCCCAGAGTGTCACCGGGGGCAAAGCCCAAATCCCAAACGTTTGGGGACACAAATGGGGACATTTGGGGGCAAAACCAGGCACGTGGGGGACATGAATGGAGATATCTGGGGACACGAGTGAGGGCTGAGGTGCAACCCCAGGGTGTCACTGAGATGGCAAAGCCACAAAAGGGACATTTGGGGACCCAAATGGGGGCATGTGGGGGCCCGAATTCATGTCACAGCACAGCCCTGGGGTGTCACTGAGGGCAAAGCCCAAACCCCAAACATTTGGGGACACAAACGGGGACATTTGGGGACATGGCTGAGGCACAACCCCAGGGTGTCACTGGGGGGAAAGCTAAAAAAGGGACATTTGGGGACCCGAGTAGGGGAATTTGGGGACCTGAGTAGGTGTCACAGCGCAGCCCCATCCCTTGCTATGGGTGCAGCCATGGTGGGTCCCTAACGAAGCCAACCCCTAACGACCGCCACCATCTCTTGGTGGTGGTGGGGGAAACCTTGGCCCATCTCCCCGTGCCCGAGCGGTGGCGTGGCGGTGGCTCCGGAGCCGGGTCCCCCGTTGTCCCCCCCAGCGCGGGCGGGGCTCACCTCCTCGTTAAAGAGCTTGCTGGTGTCTTTCTTAACGAGGTCGAGATACTGGACCTGCCCGGCCGAGAAGCCCACCAGGAGGGCGATGGTGTCGGCGGCGGCGGTGAACTGGTTGAAGTCGTGACAGGTCGGCTGCGTCCCCTTGTAAATGCGTTTGTCGATGGGTTTGTGCAGGTCCAGCGACTGCGGGGGGGACGGGGGGACACATACATGGAAGGGGACGTCACCCAGGGGGGTGTCACCCACAGGGGATGTCACCCAGGGTGGGGGACACAACCCTGATCCCACCCCAGTGCTCCAGGGAGGGTCCTTGTCACCGTCACGCTGTTGCCTGGGCCAATCACCCCTCTGGGCCAGGGCCCAGTGCCACCGCAGACGGCTCCTGGGGTCACCGTTACCGGTCCCGGCGTCACCGTTACTGTCCCTGGTGTCACCATTACCAGCCCTGGTGTCACTGTCTCCACTGTCCCCATTAGCAGGTGGCACCTGGGGGGCCTGGGGTCACCACTACTGGCCCCAGTGTTACCATCCCCATTAGCGGGTGGCTCCTGGGGGGCCTGGGGTCACCGTTACCAGCCCTGGTGTCACCATCCCTCCTGTCCCCATTAGTGGGTGGCACCTGGGGGGCCTGGGGTCACCACTACTGGCCCCAGTGTTACCGTCCCCATTAGCGGGTGGCTCCTGGGGGGCCTGGGGTCACCGTTATACCACCCCCAGTGTCAACGTCCCCCCATCCCCATTAGCGGGTGGCTCCTGGGGAGGCCGGGGTCACCGTTACCAGCCCCGGTGTCACCATCCCCATTAGCGGGTGGCTCCTGGGGAGGCCGGGGTCACCGTTACCAGCCCCGGTGTCACCATCCCCATTAGCGGGTGGCTCCTGGGGAGGCCGGGGTCACCGTTACCAGCCCCGGTGTCACCATCCCCATTAGCCGGCGGGGCCCTGGGGTCCCCATTACCAGCCCTGGTGTCCCCATCCCCCGTGTCCCCATTAGCAGGTGGCACCTGGGGGGCCTGGGGTCACTGTTACCAGCCCAAGTGTCAACGTCCCCCCTGTCCCCATTAGCGGGTGGCTCCTGGGGAGGCTGGGGTCACCGTTACTGGTCCTGGTGTCACTGTCTCCCCTGTCCCCATTAGCGGGTGGCACCTGGGGGGCCTGGGGTCACCATTATACCAGCCCAAGTGTCAACGTCCCCCCTGTCCCCATTAGCGGGTGGCTCCTGGGGAGGCTGGGGTCACCGTTACTGGCCCTGGTGTCACCGTCCCCATTAGCGGGTGGCACCTGGGGGGCCTGGGGTCACCGTTATACCAGCCCCAGTGTCAACGTCCCCCCATCCCCATGAGCAGGTGGCACCTGGGGAGGCTGGGGTCACCGTTACTGGCCCTGGTGTCACCGTCCCCATTAGCGGGTGGCACCTGGGGGGCCTGGGGTCACCGTTATACCAGCCCCAGTGTCAACGTCCCCCCATCCCCATGAGCAGGTGGCACCTGGGGAGGCTGGGGTCACCGTTACTGGCCCTGGTGTCACCGTCCCCATTAGCGGGTGGCACCTGGGGGGCCTGGGGTCACCGTTATACCAGCCCCAGTGTCAACGTCCCCCCATCCCCATGAGCAGGTGGCACCTGGGGAGGCTGGGGTCACCGTTACTGGCCCTGGTGTCACCGTCCCCATTAGCGGGTGGCACCTGGGGGGCCTGGGGTCACCGTTATACCAGCCCCAGTGTCAACGTCCCCCCATCCCCATGAGCAGGTGGCACCTGGGGAGGCTGGGGTCACCGTTACTGGCCCTGGTGTCACCGTCCCCATTAGCGGGTGGCACCTGGGGGGCCTGGGGTCACCGTTATACCAGCCCCAGTGTCAACGTCCCCCCATCCCCATGAGCAGGTGGCACCTGGGGAGGCTGGGGTCACCGTTACTGGCCCTGGTGTCACCGTCCCCATTAGCGGGTGGCACCTGGGGGGCCTGGGGTCACCGTTATACCAGCCCCAGTGTCAACGTCCCCCCATCCCCATGAGCAGGTGGCTCCTGGGGGGCCTGGGGTCACCGTTACCAGCCCCAGTGTCACCGTCCCTATTAGTGGGTGGCTCCTGGGGAGGCTGGGGTCACCGTTACTGGCCCCGGTGTCACCGTCCCCATTAGCGGGTGGCTCCTGGGGGGCCTGGGGTCACCGTCCCCACCCCCGGTGTCACCATCCCCACTATCCCCATTACCGGGTAGCACCTGGGGGGCCTGGGGTCACCATTACCATCCCTGGGGTCACCGTCCCCAGCCCCACTGTCACCATCCCCACTGTCCCCGTTAGTGGGTGGTCCTGGCGGGGGGGGAGGGGGCT